AAAAAGAAAAAAAAGAAGAGGAGGAAGGGAAAAAAATGGAGATTATCATGTCTACTTAATGCACACACGTTACTCTGGGTTTCTGGGCCCCATGGTCTCTGAAATCAGCTTCTGGTCTAAAGATACAAGAGTCATTTAAAGAGGTAAAATGGTTAATCGCTGCCCTGTGAAGTATGTAGAAATCTGGCCTAGCCTCTCTAGAGGTGACTGTAGAGGACTATAACACCAAAGAGGCAGAGACACAATTCTGCCTGCATATTTAGGGGACAGCATGCATTTTGCAGCACAATCGTGAGTTGACTGAAAGCCTGAAAGGAAAAGCCTCCTCTAGGTTAAAACTTGGTTGGCACCTTATATGTTTATATGATGTGTAACAATTCTAGACAGTGTTTGGAAAATATAACTAAAAGAAAAATTTTGTCCAGCTCCAGAGTAACTCCACAATGACAGAACAGAAAGAAAACCATTTTATTACACAATTAAACCAGAATGTGACATGTATCACAGTCAATCTGCTTAAGAGATTGCAAAGACAGAAAGACAGTCACAATAATTAGTCCACAAGCAGAAAAATTTACAGCACATGTCATACATAGTTCACCCTAAATTCACCTGGTAATTGGGAAGGCCATCCATATATGCTAATTGGTTATAATCAATGACAAAATAAACTTTTCACATCTTCATGACAAGAGGTAATTCTGCAACTTAAAGCCAGGTGCCTCCTGCCTGCCATCTCCTGGTGGCTTGTGTCCTCTCTTGACTCCTACCATCTGCCACTGAGGCAGAGTCCATAGCACAGAGCTCACACCTGGCACCCTATATATAACCCCAACTGCCACAGCAGCACTTCAATGCCACATCAGAGAGTGAAGCCTGAGTTGCAGGAGGAAAGCCTGCAGCACTCCTGGGTAGAACTGCACCTTCACAATAATGGGAATAGGTGCAGTATTTAAACCTCAGTTTTTTATTTATAATGGTGACATGGAAATCACTCTGCTAGATTTCCAGCAAGAGTCCATATAGAGATAGCTCCAAGAGTTCTCACTGTGACAGCCCACCTCATTCACAGACACCATGGGATAGTAATAGGGCTTCCAAAACAGTCACCCAATGCATTCAAGAGAAAAACAGCTGAAAATGATTATATTGAGAGAAAAAAAAAAAGATAAAAGCATCTTTAGAAAAAAACTCAGATTAGATGATTGAACAAGTCAGTCAGAAAATATTCCCCTAAAACACATTTCTCTGTAAAAACCCAAAGTGTACAGCTACCCTCAGTATGAGAAACATGAGCATAAAGAATAAAGGCGGGCATATTCTCAGCAGAATTTTGTAAGTGTGTGTTACAGCGTGGTCTGGATTGAAGACCCAAGCAGATTTTGTGTGAGCAACAAGGCTGTTTATTCACTTGGGTGCTAGTGGGCTGAGTCTGAAAAGGGAGTCAGCCCGGAGGCGTGAGGGAGAGCAGTCTTTATAGGGCAAAGTGGCGGGTGGAAAATTACAACACAGTTTTGGGACTTGTTGACTCAAGAAGTTGATCGACCAGTTGGGACAGGAACCCGCTGTTCTTCTTTTGTGGTTTTTGGTTGTTGCAGGTTTTCTGGTTCCAGGAAGTCTGGAGGCATATGTGCCGTTCACAGAGTTCTTAATGGCCCACTGTAATAATGGCCTGCTGGCAATAGTGCAGCCGTATTTTTGGGATATGACATTCCTGTCTTTTTGTTTTAATAAAAGAAGTGGACGCAGAGATGTTTCTCAGGGATTCTTCAAGCGGGACTTGGGGTGGCATGGACTCCTAATCGGGAGAGAGATCTTGGGGTTGGGGTGACATTCAGGGGCAGTTAGGAGTAGCATTTGCCGCATAGATTGACTGGTAACAACTTGAATGAGATTTTGTAGGAACTGAGAGGCTAGTCAGAAGAGACAGGGTCTGAACAGGAGAAGGAGAATGATGGAAATGAGGGGCCAAGCTTTAGGGAGAAGCCACAATGCCCAGCTCCAAAGATTGGTGTTAAGAGTCTGAAAGACGTTGCCTGATTTTAGAAGACTTTTCATTTAACCGCTGGGCAGCATCTCGTACTAGTCCAGACTGGTTGGTGTAAAAACAACAATCGTCCCCTAAAAAGGTGCACAGACCACCTTTTTCGGCGGTTAGGAGGTCTAAACCACAGTGGTTCTGGAAAGTTACTGCTGCTAATGAGTCTATTGGGGATTGGAGAGTAAGGGTGGATTTTACTACGTCTTGGAGGCTGAGAGATCCTTTGAGAGTGTACAATAGTAGGACAGGGAAGGGGACAAACCTGCTATTCCTGTTCCTGTGGCATTGGTAATTCCTAGTCCTATAAGCAAGGGTATTATCTGCACGGCCCTACACTGATGGACATGGGCTCTGACAGGGACTGGTAAGGTTTGGTTTCCAAGGGCAATGTCAATTTTGGGGCTTAGGAAGACTAGGGTACAGGTGCCTGTCCAGTTAGTGGGGAGGCAGACATAGGTTGAAGTTCCACACAAGAAGAATATGCCTTGGCTGGGTAGGCAGAACTGGCTGTGTATGTTAAAAAGGTGTGTGAATTTGTTGTTTTCATTTTCTCACACCCCTAGGGTACTTGCCAAGGTGGCCCCCGTGAGTGGTTGAAAAGGGATGTTTGGGATAAGCTGAGTGGCTCCCTGTTTTATTTTCCCATTGGTGGAAAAATCATTTTGTATCTACTAGAAGCCACTCAGAAGGGTAGCTGAAAGCGGGGAAAGGAGGCATTTGTCAGTGGTGGGAGTGCTGCTGCAGGGGGTCCAGGGGTGAATGGTCGCTCATGCAGTGAGTATGCCTGCCATTACAAAACCCGGATTGTTTGTTAAGCAGGGAGGTGCTGATGACTTCTGGGGGCTTTGAGAAGTGGACAGGCTGCTTGAATGTAGCCGTTTGGGAGACCTGGAAGTTAATGTAGTCAGATGGGGCTTGAAGCTGCGAGGTGTAGTTGCACTGATGGAACAGGAGGTGACCTAGGGGTAGGCCTGATGACAGGTTGTGTTGGATGCATAAAGGGGCTTGGAAAGTTAAGACAGTGTTTGTAGTCACAGGGCTGTGTATGGGTTTTTCATTTCTTGTGTAATGGGTGAGGCTGGACATGTAGGAGCCTAAAAGTTGAACTGCATGTCCTGTCGGGGTATTTTCGGTCATTTCATTGATGGAGAAGTCGGCCAATGACTGCATATTTAGGAGTTGGAAAGGGCTTTTTCCTTCATAACGAGGGTGGTAGGTTAAGTTAGTAACTACCCAGTTTTTTGTGGGAATGGGAGTGGCAACGTAAGTGGTAGCTGATAGAGAAATGCAAAGCCAGCAGTCCTTTGCCAAAGAAGGATTGGACTGGTTTAACAGAAAGTGGGTTGAGAGTTTTGTAGAGGTAATTAGGCATTACTGGAAGTGGGCGTGCGGCCATGCGGGGCAGCCAAAGGAGCAGGAGGGATAGATAAAGTGAGTAGGAAGGTAAATAGAGGCGTCTCATCTGGGGAGAAGTCATACAGGGTGCCCTAAAAGATGAGATCATCTATCTGGTTTAAGAGAGAATCTAAGGTGGGAGTTTGGGGATGAAACCAGGACATGTCTTAGCAAATAGAGTGGAGGAAGAGGGTGAAGCAGCAGGGTGGACAGGAGCAGGACATTTAAGTTTCTTCAGGGATTCGAGTGAGTTTTAACGAGGTCAAGGAGAGTACTTGCAACTTCCAAGAGGAGGAAGAAGGGTCAGGCTGAGTGTCAGATGGACACAGCTTTACTCTGGAAGGATGAATCCACTGAGGAGGATCTTGTAAGCGGACAGCTGTTGGGGTGCTATAAATGACCAGGAAGGGTCCTGTCCACCGAGGTTGCAGAGATCGGGGGGTTCAGCTCTTTATCAGGATGGGCTGTCCAGCCAGAGTGTCCTCATATGGTATCTGGGGTGGGTTAGCACCTGACGGATTTCATTCTCAGCCTGTTGGAGGACTGGGTAAATAGTCCCCAAGAGGACTGGTGTCTGGGATGAGGTTGGGCCCGAGTAGAAAAGTACTACCATATAAGAGTTCGAATGGGCTATGCCCGGTAGGTTCATGGGCGGTGGCTCAGATATGGAGGAGCACAAGTGGTAGGAGAACAGTCCAGTCCTTTCGGAGCTGGAGGGTGAGTTTTTAAGAGGCTGCTGACTCTTTCAATCTTTCCTAAGGAATGAGGATGGTATGGGGTGTGGAAATTCCACTGGATGCCAAGGGCCTGGGAAACTGCCTGGGTGATTTGGCTAATGAAAGCTGGACCATTGTCAGACTGGATGGAAGTAGGGAGGCCGAAACAGAGAATAATATCTGTTAGAAGAGAAGTAATAACTGCTGCAGCCTTTTCAGATCCAGTAGGGAAAGCCACGACCCATCTGGCGAAGGTATCAACCCAAACTAGGAGGTACTTATATTTTTTGACATGAGGCATATGAGTGAAGTCAATTTGCCAATCTTGTGTAGTAGTAAACCCTCGGGCCCGATGTGTTGTGAAAGGAGGGGGGCCTAAGAAAACCTTGGGGATTGGTGGAGTGGCAGTTGGAACATTGAGAGGTGATTGCTTTAAGGATGGACTTCCACGATGAGAAATAAATAAGGGGCTCTAGGAGGTGAGCCAAAGGCTTGTACCCTACACGCAAGCAGTCATGGAGGGATGAGAGAATAGATTGCGCTTCTGAGGCAGGAAGAAGGAACTTTCTGTGATCTAAGAACCACTTGCCTTGTGAGTTGGAAAGGACAAGTAGAGCAGGCTTTCAGAACAAGAGTAGGTAGGGATGATAGATGAGAAAGAAATGTACTGGCCTTTTGGAGCAGAGACTGGAACGTCTGCAGACACTGAGGCGTTTGCCACCTCTTTTGCTGTTTTATTGGCGTGGGCATTTGCTTTAGCGACAGGGTCTGTCGGTTTTTGGTGTCCTCTGCAGTGGACACAACTCCAGCCTTGGCAGGCAGGAGAGCAGCCTTAAGGAGGAACTTTATGATAAAGGCATTGATAATGGAAGACCTTTGTGTGGTTAGAAAACCTCTTTCCGCCCAGATGGCAGCATTGTGATGAAGGATGTGGAAAGCATACTTGGAATCAGTATAAATATTGATGAGGGGACATTCGGTACCCTTTAGAGTCTAAATGCTGAAGGAGTAGGAGGATATTCTGTTGGGAGGATTCCTAGGAGGGACTGCAGAGAAGATCATCAACATATCAGATGAGGTAGGAAAAGGAAGGCTGAAAAGAGAGTAGGTTGCAGGCAAGGGCTTGGCTAAAATAATGAGGGTTATCCCGGAAGCCCTGGGAAGAATGGCCCAGCTTAGTTGTTGGGACTAATGGGTGTCAGGGTCAGTCCAGGTGAAGGCAAAAAGAGGTTGAGAGGAGGGGTGTAGGGGAATGGTGTAGAAGGCATCTTTTCGGTTGAGAACGGAATAATAGGTAGTGGAGGGAGGTACTTTGGACAAGAGAGCATATGAGTTTGACACTATAGGATGGATGGAAAGTACAATCTGACTGATGAGACAAAGGTCTCGAACTAATCTGTAGGACTTGTCTGGTTTTTGAAAGGGAAGGATGGCAGAGTTAACAGGTACTAAGATGCCACGTTGTAAAAAGCAGGTAAAAAGGCTTTAGGCCTTTTAGGGGTGGCATAGGGATAGGGTACTGGCATTGGGCAGGGTGAGAATGGTTTGGCTTCAAAGGGATGACGAGGCGGGAGTGATCTGTAGCAAGGGAGGGAGAGGTGATATCCCAGACCTTGGGGCTAAGGAAGGGAGACATTAGAGGAGCTTGTGGGGTTGGTGAGGGGTTGGGGAGAAGGCTGGCAAGGAGATGTGGCTGTAGCCCAGGAATAGTGAGGGAGGCAGACAGTTTTGTTAGGATGTCTCGGCTGAGCAGAGGGAATGGACAAGTGGGGATGACTAGGAAGGAGTGCAAAAAGGAGTGCTGACCTAGTTGACACCACACCAGTGGAATCTGGAGAGGTCTGGAGGCTTTGCCGTCAATTCCCACAACAGCAGTCATGGAGGCTAAGGAGACAGGTCCTTGAAAGGAGGGAAGGGTGGAGTGGGTGGCCCCCATATCAATCAAAAAGGGGATGGACTTACTCTCCACCTTAAGAGTTACCTGAGGTTCATGATGGTCCGGGGGCCTTTGAGGTGTTCGGGCAGTGTCATTCCTCAGCCACCAAGCCGATGACATTAGGGAAGGAGTCAGCCAGGGGGCTGTGGGGTTGAGCTCCAGGAGCTCTAGGGATGGCAGCTTGAGTTGGACAGTCTGACTTCCAGTGAGGGCCAGCACAAACAGGGCATGACTTAGGAGGTATCCCAGGCTGCAGGCATTCCTTGTCCCAGTGGCCATTTTTATGGCACTTGAAGCATGGCCCTGGAGGGGCTGCTGGGCGCTGCGATCTGGACGCCTTGAAATCCCTACGGGCCATTGGTGTGGCTGGGGTTCATCTAACAGCGGAGGCAAGCATCTGTAATTCAGAAATACGCTGCCACCGGATAGCCTCTTCCCTGTTACTGAACACCTTAAAGGCAAGGTTAATTAAATCCTGTTGTGGGATTTGAGGGCCAGATTCTAATTTTTGAAGTTTTTTTTTAACATCGGGAGCTGACTGGGTAATAAAATGCACATTAAGAATAAGTTGGCCTTCTGGCCCTTCAGGGTCTAAAGCTGTATACCGTCTGAGAGTGGCAGTCAGACAGGCCATAAACTGGGCTGGATTTTCATCCTTGCCCTGAGTGGTTTAACTTATCATAATGACTGCCTTATATGCAGCTTTTTGGAGTCCCTCTACTAAGCAAGTGATCATATAATCTCGCCTGGCCGTACCAGGAGATCCTGTTTGATAGTTCCACTGGGGCTCTTCACAGGGGACCTCCCTGGCATCTTCCTGGAGACCTAGTTCAAGGCGCCAGTGGTCATCTGCATAGGACTGAGCTAGGGCCCAAACTCGCTCCCTTCGGGAATGAGTGTAGAAGTGAGGATGACATTTAAGTCACTCCAGGTGAGGTTATAAGACTGAGTTAAATATTGAAATTCCTAGATATATTTAGTGGAGTCTGATGAAAAAGAACCTAAACACTGGCTGACCTGAGACAGGTCAGACAGGGAGAAAGAAACATGAACTCAGACTATTCCTTCAGCTCCAGCCACCTCTCAAAAGGGAAAGAGAGGGGTGGGAGGAGGGGGATTAGAAGTGGGACCAAATTGTAAGCCAGATCGGGTATGGGGCGGAGTGGGGACAGAAGGGATATAGGGAGG